TCAATTGGTATCTTACTATTTCTAAAATGAATATGTCTGCAGTAATCAAGTAAATATTGTAATGTACTTATTAGATATATTATTAGTTGTTGATCTCTTGTATATTTTGCATGAAAATAGTCTCTTTCAGTTTGATATGCAGCTACTGAAGAAAATCAGGAATAACTGTTGGAAGAAGAACACCGAAAAGACAGAAAAAATTTGAAGTGTTTCATCTAGAATAGCATCATATTATCTTCTAATAGGACTTAAATAAAATGTTATGTTTCATATCTTTAGGTTTTAATGAGTTTCTTTTATATGTTGGAAGACAATGGACAACAAGCATACATGTAATAGTAATAGGCATAATGATACAGATGTCAGTCACATAAACAGGTATGCGCATATATTCAAGGGATAATGAAGCAACAGTACAATCTATCTTTTGTTCTTTTACATATTACAATTCACTGATATATTTTCTGTGATGAAAGGTATTCTTTTTTTGTTTAGTGTTCAAATTTTCATCTAATGCATAGGTAAAAATGAACAAAAAACCATTATAATTGTCACTTCAAATTGTTTGAATCAAAGCTTATATTATAGTGTTGAAATATTTTTTTTTAATTCTAAGCACTTCGCTGTTTCATTTCTACATATAACTATAACTATAGTGATGTAGCAAAGGCAAAAAGGTGGAGTGGCACATACACAAATTTTCAAAGGTGGTCATGTCGACATTCTGTTTCTTGCTTGATGATATTTTCCAATAGAAAAATTGAGTTTTGCTGTGAAAAATTAGCAATGTTTTAGAGAGGGGTGAGACACAATTCATGATAGTTATATTCCTTTATCTGATATTCATTCTTTTCAAAACATCTAAAATAAATATTTTGTAAACGTCGCTCTTAAGGTTTTGGATTTTGATTATTCATTAAAAATGAAAGCTGCGTCATCAGAAAAAAAAACATGCTTTCTGATGCTCTTATGTGCCAACAGTTATAATAAAGCATCGTACGCTTCATTACAATTTGCATAGTAAGTCTTTTCATTTTGATAGAATTATTGAGTGCGTTTTACCATAAATAGCATTTGTAAAAAATGTTCTGTTATAATTTGATGTACCATTATCTGCAAAAAGGAAAACATTCATAAACACGATAAACTTCATTGACTTATTCTTCAATCATTTGTTTTTTGTTTGATCTTTCAGAATAAAGTCGAATTTCTACCATAAGAATTTCACAAAACTTATTATGATTATGACGTTCATAAGTACAGCATTTATTCGAAAAGAAATTCAAGAAAATTTTGAAAATTTATTTAACTAATAAAGAAAAAATTTGCAAAACCTTTGAATTGCTCAAGAGTTATTTACATTCTTCTTTCAATTTAATTTTGATGACAGTTTATACTAATGAGCTTGCATTCGTTCAAGATTAACTTGATATAGTACCATTTAAAAAGTACGTATAGGTCATTGTTGTTTAATCATACATTTTTTAATAAAATATAACTGTCAAAATATGAATACAGTAAATATTTCATGTCATATTAGTACTTTTTTCTATTGTTTGGTTGACGCTTTTTATATGAATCATGCTCTTTGTATTGTTGTAAAATTATTGGTAGCAACTATTTTGTTGAAAAATATATATTATCCCAAAGAATAGATTTTTCATCCAGTATTTTTATAGCAATGATAAATCATCTTTCTCCTACGCAATGTAGCATTATTGCTTACAAGAAAAAATAAAAAAATTATTATTTTCTACATTTCAATCTAGCTTGATTTACATGCATGATCAATAATATTTCCGTTGATGTCATGTGTATTAGTTTTATATATTCGTGTTTGGTTTGTCTCATACTAATCTTTCCAATGTTCATTATATTCACCTGAGTTCATCTAATATAATCGCTACAATGATTTAGTTACATCGTTTTTTAATTAGTCAAACAGTTGATTGAATCTTTATTGTATTTAAAAAGAAATGATTTTCTTTGTAATTAACGTCACTAAACTTCATGATTATAACTGAAATGAATACTTAAGAATAAATAGGAAACCGAGCATATTCAAAGTCAAGTATTCGAAAAGAATAATACTTAAACATACATAGAAGCTTTAACTATATTCAAAATCAAATCGGAATATGACTTTAAAAGCCATTACCTTTTCTTTTTCTTTTTGTCAGACATTTTCCTTGGTTTTATATTATTTTTCATGCGAAAAAAAATTTGTTATTCATCAAAGTTTTTAATTCATTTTAATACAAGTTTAGTTTTCATAGAAAATATCTATGCGTGCTTAAAAAGTAGAACGTCGGATGGAAAAACATTTAAAAAGTGTAAGTTTTTTTTCCGCTTTCATCGGTTAAATGATGTGTTATAAAAGCAGTTGGAAAAAAAAACTTATGTCCTAAGTCTTTTTCCTTGTGTCTTTAAATATGATGTTCTCATACTATTAATAAATATTGTATTTATTGAAAATGAACATGCTAAAAACTAAAAATACCTTACTTGATTGATGTCACGCATAACAATTCTAACAAAAACATAAATTTAGTTTGTCAATTTGTGTTTTCTTTTTCGTTCTAAATCAATGAATCGATCAATGATACTCATATAGATACACTTATGTTTCTACGAACAAAAATCTCTTGAGAAATGAGATTTATTACATTATTTTCTTTTTTCTTATTTTACCATTTTTTAAAGTAACATTAACAACTCAGTAGTGCTTTGTTTTTTTTTTTATATATAGAATAAAAATTTTTTAAGACTTTATAAAGAAAAACGTAAGTCTGACCCTAAATCATTTTTCTAAGTAAAAATGAGGAAAAAATAAAACTTGATTATAAATATTCCTTGGTGTACATTGAAATAGAAGTTAATTAATTAATTATACATTCTCTCCTATAGAATATCAATTTTCTAAAAGTACTGATACGAAGGTGATACACGTAAGTAAGCTAATATTGTTTGTTAGAAGAATATGTGTACCAAGATTAATGTGCTTTAAGAGGAAGATCGACTTAGTCAGACAATACTTGACGTAATTCATTTAGCAATTAGATCTTCAAAAAGAAAAACTAATTTTAAAAAAAGTTGTTAAATTATCGTATAAAAAAAAAGATTTGTTCTTTCATCTAATGATTATACACCTATGTTAGCAGGACATAGAATTCAAGATACTCATTGACACACATTTTACCAAAGAAAGCTTCATTCGATCGATGACGATAAAACAAAGAATATATGCTAATCATCAGTATAATAGATTCTTTCTGTGTAGTCCTCCTAAGTAAGATTATTATAGATTAGATTCATCATCTATCTTTATATAATGCTTTATGAAAAGAAATTTTTTACTGCAGAGAAAAAGAAAAATCTTAAAAAAAGTCACGCTATAATAACTTTGATTCTTCTTCCGTTCATCTTTCTTAAATATCGATTATCAAATTCTTTTGTTTTCTTTATTCTTTGGAAGTATAATAATCGATGTCATTACAACTTAGCAGTTTTTCTTTTCATTCTCGTCCTTTATTAATTTACAACACAAAACTTCTTTCGTCTTGATTTATAATCGTCTAGTCAGTTCTTATGTTAATTACTTAATGATTTATTTGATTAACAACATCAAAGAAATGACACAATGAATGTTATTATCATAAAGAAAAATATACTTTTATTATTATTATTATACCTAAGAGATATAGATCATATAAATTTCGAAAACAATAATGTACGTGTTCACAATCAATGAAATGTTATTATGTTTTTATTAATTTTTTTTTCTATACCTACAGAGAATTCATATGCTATATATGATAGTATGTAATTCATTTTTTGTACTGAAATATATTATCTACACGATTATTGTTCTATCATTTTGGGAGAGCTTGTTTAAGATGTTTTTTTTTTTGTTGCTTTTATATTATGGCTTATTTGTTATTCTTTTCGATCGAATCAGTCGCGGTAATGAGCTTTTCTCTCTTTTCATTACATTGATAAAACATGTTATGAGTAATGCTTCGTAATGACAAGTAAAAATAACCTTCATTAACTATAATTGTATCACATTCGTATTCATTAGGTTTTTTTTATGATAAATAGAAAGTAATAGAAAAACATTGAATAATATCAATTACTTGTATCGAGTTTTTCTTTTTTTTTTGAAGAATAGCAAAACGTGATACTATATGTATTTTGTCATCGAAATTTAAGGTTAATATATGACTCTCTTTGACTATCTTGTCATAAATTATATTGAAGAAAAGTAATGAAGATCGATAAACTCGATATGAGAATAAAATATTAGACAAGTTTTTTATTCTTTATTTTCTTTTTCTTCTTTTCCTTTTTCTTGTTTTTTTCTTCTTCTCCTTCTTCTTCTTGTTCTTCTATCTTCTTTTCCACACATCTCTATCAATAGTAGATATTAGGCGGACGCGCATCGGTAAGACGAGTCTCACATACTAATAATTTTAATAATATGCAACATCGCTTTGTTCAACAGAAAAAAACCATCCGAAAAAAAAAGGCTTTCACATATGCTAACAATGAGGTATATGAAGAAAAAGATTTCTGATGCGAGCTTTACTTTTTCTTTGAGTAAACATTGCTAGAAAGAACGTTTTGTTGTAGATAATATGTAACAAAAATAAGTAGAGTGGTTTTACATACAAATATATATATATATGATGTGCTTTTTCTGTTAAGTTAACCTCAGCAGAGATAGAACAGTCCAAACAATTTATAAAATTACGTTACATAAATACATTTACTTTATTTTGGTTTAAAAGTAGCTATAAGAGTTTTTAGAACATAAATCAAATCAAGTGATCTAGTTAATTTCATGGGATTCTCCACGGGCTCTATGCTCTTGTGCTAACAGTCTATAAATAAAATGTCATTTGTTTCCTCATTGCTTATCATTATATTTCCATATATTTTCTTCTAGAAAATAAGTTTATGTTAAAACTACATTTTCTAACAATATTGAATAGATAATAATGGAATTAAAGAACTCATCATTTATTTCTACATGCAATGCATCTCCGCCTGGAACAATTTATTTGGATTTATCACCACCTTTACCGCCACCATATCTACAGGCAACAGCACTTATTGTCTATACTTTATTGAGTATTCTTACTCTTGGTGGAAATGCTCTTGTATGTCTTATTGTATTTCAATTTATGGGTGTTATTACGGTGACAAATTTATTTATTGCTAATTTAGCTCTAACAGACCTTTTCATCGGTCTTTTTTGTATTCCAATCGTACTTATATCAGATTATCTTTTATCTGATTGGCCATTTGGAACATTCATGTGTAAATTTACATCTTTTGCACAATCTGTTTTTGTTGTTTGTACAGTTTATACATTAATAGCAATGTCAGTCGATCGTTACATAGCCATAATTCATCCATTGAATGAAAAATTAACAAGAAAACAATGTCGTTTATTAATTGGTTTACTTTGGACATTTTCAATATTATTCAGTTCACCAATATTTTTTGATATGATTATAAGTCATGCTTGTTTTCATCTTGATTCAGATAATATAACAGAATATACACAAACAACGTGTGAAGCAGAAGGTCTTCCACCATCATTACATACAGCCTATAATTTTGCAACGATCACTATCATTTATTTAATTCCATTATGTCTATTAACAATAATTTATATACGCCTTGGTTGGCGATTACATCAAAGTCGTGCACCGGGCGAAGCACATTCAGAACGTGATGCCAAAATTAAAAAATCTAAACAAAAAGTTATTAAAATGTGTTTTGTTGTTGTAATTATGTTTGGTGTATGCTGGTTGCCAATGCAATTATATTCAAATATATTACGTCCATATTTTGAAGAATTTGTTCATCAAGATTATGTCCCACATGTTTACTTTGCTTTTCATCTTATGGCTATGAGTAATTCATGTATTAATCCTGTTATATATGGTGTCATGTCGTCGAAATTTCGTGATGGCTATTTACATTATTGGCAAAATTTAATAACATGTTGTGGTTTATTCAATACTCGCATTAAACAAAAGAAAAGTCACATGAAAAGTATGTCAATGGCAACAACATTCCAATTAAGTCGTAGAACATATGAATTAAGTATGAAAGTTCAGGACATTGAATGTGATCGAGCAAGTAATGGATCAGTACCTTGTTCGATTCCATTTCTATCATCACAAAGAGTATCATCAGATGACTAAATATTCATTTATTCATGTAAAAAGTTGTAGGATACAATAAAATATTTTTTTTTGCCTTTTCATTAACTGTTATTGTTGTAACTATTTTTCTTGTATAAAATGATTTTATGTTTGTGACCAGCATAAATTAACAAATACGAGTTCAAAGTCTTGCGAACTTTTTTTTATAGAAAAATCTTTAAAAACAAAATAATTTTCAGTATTTGTTAAAAGATATTGTAGTACGATACAAATATTATTTTTAAACAAAAAGCAATTATATATCTTTATTGTAATTTAAAAAAAAAAATTTCAGAGAAAATCAATGATATTCATTAATTGATTTCTTATAGATGCTAATAAGGGATGAGAGAATATAATCTTACTCATTAGACTTATATAGGAAGTTTATTTTTCCTAAAGATTGAAAGGTCTAATCATCTATCCGAGGAAGTTTTATTCGATAGTTCATTTTGACATGCAAAATACTATCTAACCAATGAAAACAGTGGTTAGGGACTTATTTCGTACGTCATTAATATAATAGACTCATCTATATTACATCAAAGTAATAGAATATTGATTGATTAAAAAATTAATTCTTATGAATATATTTGACACTAGACGTGTCAGAATTAAGATGTCGAAATTTTATTTAACTAGCAACTAGTTAATGAAGATTTTATTAGTAATTTAATTTTAATAAGAAAAAAAGCTTATGAGTTTATAATGAATCATTTAATAAATATAATTTAAATTAATTTAAAACTCTATTTAACAAATCAAAATTATTTTTTCTGTTTTTATTATAATATTGATCAGATTTACAAAGTATAATATTACAAACAAAAGAAATCAATAATCTAATTCTAGTAATAACCACATATATATATTGAAATGTCTGTCTGAGCTTTTCCTTCGTGTTCTGTTTACATTCCAACTAAGTAAGTATTAATGATGATGGACCTCGAGAAGCTAGACAGGAGAGTATCCGACGCCAGAAGCGATTGTTGTTAGTAATATTAGGAATAATGGCAACTATAATAGAAACATAATCGCTTACATTAGCAATTACTGAAGCTTACTAAACCGTAAGAAGATTTTGTCTAATGTATTTTGGGAAAAAACAAGATAATCTAAGACATATTTATCATGGATTATGTATGTCACATAAATCTTATTTATAAACATTCGAAGAAATCTCAGCAAAAGTTGATACTATAATTCAGATGCGTATAATATTATTCTTATGTTAGATATTGAAAATAATTCTGAACAAACTTTGATACAACAACTGTTCAATCTATAAATAATATTTCATCATATTAAAACTGTTAGAGTTTATATTGATGTTGAAAAATGATGTATCTAGGTGAATGAACGTCAAGAAATATAGACCCATGCAAAAATAGATTCTTAATATTCGTGACAAAGTCATATTTATATCACTCAGATGCTATAAATAAAAAGAAAAGACAAAATAGATAAACTGATTTGCTTTTTATCACTATTATAGATTATTAGAATATATTTTTATATAAAATAAAAAATATATGATAATTAACAAAAGACATCGCCATTTTCATTACGTTTATAATGTATGTTAAATGAAGCAAAAACTATGTTATGCTAGCATGTATCATGCTTGATCAAGCAGTCAAATGCATTTGAGTAAAAATGAATTTTCTTTTATAATTATGTTTTTATGACGACGTATTACGGCGATGTATTTATTGTTCTGGTCTATTCTTTATGATAATCTTTAGTTGACATAACACATGTACGAAGAAGAAAAAATTTGTTGGCATGTTATTTTATTATATTAGGCAATCAGCACATCACATGCATATGAAGCTGAAAAAGCCTTACATCAATATAAGACAGATAACCGCCTCTGACTGTCAATTACCTCAAACAAAGCAAATAACTCATAAAAAAACTTTACTCGATGACTCTGGTTTATTCATGATTAATTGGTCTTGTAAGAATTATCATAAATCTGCATAACTCTATAAAGCAAGCGTCACTTAAAATAAATGTATATCACTGTCTTCTCTGATAAAACAACGCCTTTATAATTCTTTACATCTTTACATTTTTAAAATTATTATTTGAAATTTGATTCATTATACAATACATTATATATTTAAAAAAAAAAGAATATTTCTTATAAGAAAAATAATCACATAAATAAATAATTGAAAAATATTTTGAAAATAATTTTTATTACTCGAATTTCCAAATAATGATTTCGGATGTATTTGTGAATAACTATAGGATATTGATTTAGCAAGACCAATTTGATTACGATTAACATTATAAATCGAATAAAAACGACTAAGAAAATAATCACCAAGAATCCATATTAAATTTCCACGATTATCACGTAAATTAACACCTTGAAAAACGGTATAACATATATAATTATCACTATCTTTTAAAATAAGTAAATATTGTAATACTGACAATATAAATGTCATATTACCAATTGAAAATTCCACATCAGGAAAATCAGATAATAAACGAGTATAACAATCAACTGTGTACTATTTTATTTTGAAGAAAAATAAAACAAAAATAATAACTTTTTATTTAAAAAAAATATGATATTATTATTAATCTTACTAATCCAATCTCATGATCATACGTTCCTCCAATAGCATAATTAAGTAATGCTATTTGATTTGATGGTCCAACAATTAATGTTGTACCAGTATCCAAAATAGCACGACAATTTGAACATATTGTTTTACCATTTGTTTGTACACTATGTTGCAGATAAATACAAATAAAATTCTTCTTTAGAATATTTTATTCACCTGTTCATCATAAATTCCCAATAGGCATGTATAATAACATCCACATAAGTAATTGAATCTAAATATTTAGTGGAATCTACTCCACCAAAGATAAGTTCACCGCCTGGATAAACATTGGGATTTCTGAACAAAGACATGATTTTCATTAACAATATTTTCAAATTATCAAATAAAAATCAAAACGTACGGATTGAAATAAAAAGAAAAAATTGGATCAGGTATAAGACCTTGTTGCCACATATTATAAAAAATAGGAATCTGTCCAGATGTACCAATTGATGGATAAGCAAGACCTAAAACACCATCAAATGTTGACGAACTAAAACCTGATATATTGTTTGCTTGAGCAAATGCTTGATTTAATATAGATAAATTTCCTATCTAAATGAAATTTCAATTATTATTTCTTTTTCAAGAATTAGTCATACATACTGTTACAGTATCATTAATAAAAATACCATTGACATACGAACCATCACCGTATGCAATCCTTAAGGTAGCTCCATTAGCTCGAGATGTATACGAACTATATGAATCGTATTTTGCTTTGTTTTCTAAAAAATGCATATTATCTTGAAATTTTTAAAAAAGACGTTTTTTTTTTTTCTTGTTCAAAAATATTTACCACAAGTAGAAAGACATTGAATTGATGGTACCCATAAATCAGTAGAACCTGTATCAAAATTGATAATAAAAGTTTTTTCAGGTGTACCGATTGAAATTAAACCAATCCAATAAAACTAAAAAGGAAGAAAAGAAATAATTAACTTTATAATTTTAATCATATAATGTACATTTGCTTGGTTAAATAAGGATTCTCTTATTAGATTTGTCTTTCCTTTAAATCGTAGTGAACTTTTATAAATTGAATCTCTCATTTCGTGTTCTATGTGATCATTTTGTACTAGAGCATTTGTCATTCGATAACATGAGATTCTATAAAATGATCATATTTTATGAAATAATTGAGTAAAAAGAATTACCGAGGTAATTCCGTTGATGATACAGCAGAAATTAAAAGCAAGAACAAAATAGTAGATAAATTCAACATTTTTAATGGCAAATACTAAATCTATAGGTGACAAAACTTAATATTATCATCAATTGGGACGACGAAAGGATGATACAGAACGGACAAAAATACTCTTCATTTTTTGTCTAATGTAAAATGAAAAACGAAAAGCATTCGATAATGGTCTTTTAAAAAAGCAAGTTTGCTCTTTTATTTGTCTATTATGATGCCAAAAAGTGCTTAGTGCATGTAGATCCAAAATGCAATACAAAAGCGCAAATCAAAGAACATATTTTACTGTCTACATATGACAAACAAACGACGATTTCATAGTTTGAATAAAAGTTTAAAGAAACAAGCATTGAGCATAGAATTCATGTAAAAAGTTTCATTGTTTATTCTCACTTGGAGTTATACGAATAAGTTTTGTGATATTAAAACTAAAATGATTATCTCTGAAATAAATGAGTTTTATTTTGAGAGTCACATGAAAATGGAAATGAGAAACATTAATAAAGTTCTTTGTATATTCTATAGTTTTAGAAACCAAAAAGAAAAATTATATCAAAACAGAATCGAACATTGTTGTCAAATACAAACACAGAAAAATGTTTAAAAGTTAGCCAATTTAATTGATCGATACTTTCACTTACTTTTATTATTATTATAAGACAAAATGATTGGATTGTGGATGGAAATGGAAATGACGAAAAGAGTAAGCATTCACCCAAACAGTTTGAATCGTTTGCATCTAAACGAAGAAAAAGACCCGTATCTACTGAGCGACGTCACGCAACATGATTCCATCGAAAGAAAATTGAAATAGAGAAATAATACTATAGCATGTCAATAGAAGAATTTCACTAACATTATTTGACTGCTTGCTAGAGTCAATAAAAAAAAACCGAAACTCAATGAATTTTTGTTGAGATTGTTTTTCAGTTTCTTTTCAAAAGATAATTGAATAGAACACGTTATTACTTTTCTTGTCATGGATTTTCTTTTTGAAGAAAAAGAAAATCAACAATTATCAAAGTGATCTTGGATAAAACTTTATGTTATCATTTTCAAATCCAGATAAATGTCAGTTACTTTTCATTGACGATCAAAAATGGGAATTTGAAGCAGAGGTCATCGGGTAGATGCTAAAAGATGAAGTTGATAAACCATAACCATTTTGACTGTCTTCTGATTGATGCAATCTTTTGTCGCATAGTCAACGTTTGTCAATTAGACATACTTGTCTGTTTCTCTTAATCATGATAGCAAAATGGCACAGATATTTCAATATCATTATAATATCCGTCTCGTCTATTCAATAGAAAGGACATGCTCTTTATTTATCAATAAGACGTATGTTTTTTTTTCTGGTATTCTGCTGTCCGATAAATAAAGAAAAGTCATTATGCTGAATGATTGATGATAGCCATCAAAATATTCTCTTTGAATTCATAATTAGTGTCCACTATACTAAGATTCAACTCAAGTAAAAATCATTCAGTCGGTCTACGAATTGTTCACTAACAGGATGTGTCTACTACGGAAGGTTTAACTGTACTGGTATTCTGATACTAGATTTGGGTGCATAATTAGACAAGACTAATACCCATATCTGTATACATTTACTAGTCTGTCAATCAACGTCATATTTGACTTTCTTTTTCTTTGGGTGCTTAACTTTTTTGTGCTGAAAGTTCTCTTACTTATCATTTGACTCTCAAAACAAAAGCAAACAACAAGTTATTAATGCGTACACAATAATTGATAATCGATCAAATAATCGGAAAAAGCACGTGATAAAAACCAAAAAAAATATTCAAAAATAAAGCAAATCTATAACTCAATGATTTATCTTCATCTTCATGACAAGTCAAATTTATTCATTATTAGTTTTGTTTAATTATTAGTTAAAAGATTATATAAAAATATTTGCGTTTAGTAATTTGATTTCTTAAGGCATACTAAATATTGTATAAGTCAACAATTGAATGTAGACAGTAAAATAATTTGCAGTAAAATGAAGTTTTCTTTTTCTCGTATTCTTCAATTTGAAATATTCAACAACAAATAGAATCATATTGTGACAAAGAAAAAAATTGAATATAATTTTTTCTGATTCAAAAAAAAAAAGAAATAAGTTCGTCTATCTGACGAAAAACTTGTTCAATATTATTGTTCTCTTTTGAATTGATATACGTATAAAACATTGTGAAATATTGACATTAAGCATGATTAGATTATCCAATGCGTACGAAAAAAAATTGAAGGTTTTTTCAAGTCTTTTTTTCTGTAGTTATTCAACTGAGAGATACGGTCTATGATCAATGACAAAATTCTTATACGATATGATGTCGAGCTGAAGTGATATAAACAAACATATGAGAGAATTATATAAGCACAACGTCTATTAGTTGAAAAGGCACTAATGTAAGTCACGTTAAGACTTATTCATAGAATAAAATAAGGCGTTTAATATCGAGTTTTTATTGTAAACACAATTAATCAGAAAATCTTTTATAAACAAAATGATGAAGAGATATATGATTGATGATATTGTCATTTACTCATGCTACAAATTCTCATTCTCTTTTATTTTATGAAATTATACAATCGAATATAGTAATAAATAACACTAATCCACATTGTTGCTTAAAATACAATTTCAATTTGACTTCTTTCTATACAAACAAAAAAAAATAAATAAAAATTTTTGTTTCGTCTTACCTATTCAATAATATGTTCAAGAAAATTAGTTTAGAGATTTATTCAAAAAAGTTTGTTTTATTTCTTCAATTCAATGTAACTTAACAAAGCTGAACAGAACGTTTCTGTTCTTTTTATTTTTAGCAATACTTTTTATAGATAAGATGATACTTGACTAACAGGCAAACTTCAACATTTTCAACGTTTAAAATAAATATCAAGGACAACATCAATAAATTGTTTACGAGATCGTTTAGATATATAAAACTAACAATAAAATGAATTCTACAAATAAACTAAGTTTACAGTCAAACTTGTCTCTGTAGGCACTTTGTTTCGATGCCATTCACTGTGGAGAATCACTTGAAAGAGGATGCTCCTCTTATTTCACAGCATTGTCTCGAAAATTCAAAAATTTAGAACACAAAAATCTTTGACAAATTAGTGCGCTACAAAATCTTTTCTTTTTATGTCGAAAGTTAAGATTACCTAGATTTTTATTGTTCAAAATTTCCAGGCATCCATTTTTCGTTTGGATAGAGCTATGGTTGCTAATTATGCACTGAATAGACTAGTATTTTACATAAGCAACTATGCGAGCGATGAGTTTAGAGTTTCAAAAACAGACAAGTAGTCAAATGTATGTCGGTGCTAGGTCGACCATTTACAGTTACTCTGAAAAGTAACTGTATCATCTATATTCTCAAAAATGAATCGCCTATACCAATGGAAAAGGTGTAAGATTCTAAGCATAAATTGATAGTTCAAAACAAATTATATAAATGCTTTGAAAAATGTGATAGACAGTCGTTTTCAGCGAAATAATAAATAGCCATCCCTAGTGGATCCATCTAACACTAATGTGCAACACACTCTCGAATAGAAGGTAGATCAGAAAACAAGAAAGAAAAATTGAAAAAATGTTCATTCATGTACTCATTAAGTGACCAAAATTCACAATTTTTCTTTAGCAAGAATTCACTGATGTTTATCTTAACTGAAAGATATGCGACAGAAGTTTAACCACTGACTCTGCCAAAAAGTATCACGGCAACTGAAAGCTTAATAGATTATTCTCAATGCAGTTTCATATAACATGATTTTGTTACGTGATTAGATTAAATTTCAATAAAAGCTTTCTTTAGTACCATGTTGCTCATTAATTCAATATTGATTTTTTGTCTTTTTTTCTTTTTGGAATTAAGTTCAAACGACTACAAGAAACATTAGTAAAAGATGCTTATAGAGCTATGAAATAATTGTTTGATAACTTGTGCACTCATACCAACATTAATCATCATATTTTTGTGAAATAGTTCTGAATATAAAATGACTCTTCGTGATCTCCAGAGGTTCACATTATTGACAAGATAATATACTATATTAAACTTGTTATTTGTATAGTAACTCGCTTTATGAGCTCCGAACAAAGCATGATATTGACAGGTTGTTTTTAATGTAACGGAAGAAAAATTTGGGATTATTTTCTTAAGGTCCTCCCGTCCTCAAAAACCGACCTCAGCCGAGGTACGTTCAAATGGAATAAAATTTTCAGAATATGTTGGGGCTATGGTGAAGAGGCTATAGTAAAATTTTCAGCCCGATATCATAACGTTTGACAGAGATATGAACCAAACAGGGGTCAAAAATAGCTCATTTGGCAACCCATTTTTCTTCGTTCAGGCTCATCCTATATATTTAATTTTTTTTTGTTTGAAAGAGCGTGAAAAGATGCAGAGACTGATAAAGCTCTTTTTTTTAAATTCTTACTTTTAAGTGGAGAAAAGGGATGACAAGTTCAATGACTTCAAAAACTCTCTAAAAATGGGCGCCAATTTACATCAATGTTTGTATATATAATAACGAAAAAGGCTAATTTAAAAAAGGGAGTCTATCAGGCTCTGCAACTTTTCACGCTCTTTCAAACAAAAAAAAATTGAATACATTGAATGAGCCTGGACAGAGAAATTTGGATTGCACGATCAAAAAAGTATAAACTGAAAACAAAACGAAAACCATTTTTGGATTTTTTAAAAAACAGCTGGTTTTTCGAATAGGGGGTGGCAGAAATTTTCAAAACTTTCTTTGAAAGAAGTGGGTATCGAGTAAAAATTTGTATGGTTTCTGAAAGACCAGATGACGAGCTATCTCCCTATACATTTATCTCAATTTCGAAATTTCTGACGAAAACTGACATTTTTTGAGTAGAGGGGGGGACCTTAACACTTTTGTTTCAAGTGTGACTCACTTGAACGTTGTACGTTTAAAAGTATATAATTAGCTCGATACCAAGCATTGTTTTCTATAATGTTTGTTTGTCCAAAAAACTTATAAAGTAGTTTGCATAATAGAAAAAAGACTTCTTCAATTATATTGACTGTATTTTTTTGTCAAGCTACATAGTTTTTGTTTAACGAAATTTATGACGTATACATTCAAATAACACAAAAGAAATACATTGCGGTCATGGTTAAAGGGAAACATGCATGGAAAAGTCTAATTTTCAAGAGATATTTCAAAATAAAAAATATACGATTGAATTTAATATGTCTACTAATAATTCCCTTAGATTTTCACAGATTGTTCGGTTTCTTCAAGCGGGTTATATAAGTCATCATATTTTATTCATCGGAAACATCGAACTATGACAATAGAGTCTCTTTATTTTTTGAAATTCTTTCACTTAATGACGAATCAGTGTTCTTCTCTTTCAGGTGACACTTGATTCATTGCATTTTCTTGATGTTTCCATTGCTTTTGATAAATGCCAGTCAGAACATATAATAGTTGTTGTCGAAATCGTTTTGATACACAAGCATAAATATAAAATGAACTCTAAAACAAGTTCAAAAATCATCATTCAAAGTCTTAACTTCTCATACTTACTGCGAAATATAAATAATAAATTATGATACTAATATGTTGAGCAGAACTCAAATAAGACATATTCACTGACATACTATTGGGATCCAGAGTATCAACCAGAAACAGACATATGATGTATGGTAAAATAATAAAACAATTAAAGACAACTTGAACAAGAACCATTGATGTTAATTGTTTATCTAATTCACGTCGAACCAATGGAACTGTTCGATAAGGTATTTGTCTTACATTCCAATATGCCAAAAATCCAAATAAAACTGTAATACAAATTGGTAAAATACCAGTTAGTATGATTAAATAACCATATGCAATGTACAGATCAAAAACTGGGTTTGTTATTGTACAAATTAATCTTCCTGTAGTAGGTAATAAACTCAAATTATACCAAATCAATGTTGGAATACCGTGAAGAATCCAAATAATAAAGAATAATATGCACAGAACATAAGCTTTTTTTATATTAAAAAATTTTTGCCAGTGAACATGAAGTGAAGTTGCCAAGAATTGATCAATTGTTGCCAAACACATACATGTATATGATGTTAATGCACATACTTGAAGAAAATAGTTTCTAAACTTACAATAAACCAACGAATAGTCCGTCCAATCAGCATCAAATCCAGTAATCATAATACGACTAAGTAAACTGAATAGTAATTGACCAATATTAACAAATGACATGATTGTTAAAAAGAAAGCACATGAACTTTGTCGAAATGTTTTAAGACTCATAAAAACGATAATATTGAGAGTTCCACCAAGAACTCCAGTACCAAGAATAGGTATGCCAAGATAGATAGTGATTTCTTCGGAAGCAGAATTTCGTGTGAAATTTACTGATGTAGACATTTTTCTTGTTTGAATTCTATCGGTAAAGTACTGACAGTCGTTGTCAAACTAAGAGTTTTCTTTGATTGTCTCTTTTTATATACAATTTCTATCATTCTGTCACTACATTCTCTACTTCAAGATTCATGCTTAACATTATTTTCGATATATGCAACTACAAGAAGCTAAAGTTTATTATTGTTTACATGCTGCATATGACAAGAAAATTACTTTGAAATTAAAAAGAAGAAAAAGATATATCTGGTCATGTCATATGACATATACTACTAGCTACATTAATTTTGTTTCACTATTTTTTCTTTATAGAGAAATTCATTGAGTTAATGAAATAATTAAGTTTATAATTGACTATCATCATAGGAAAACAGCATCTCATGAAGTCTGTTGAAGTTCTGTGAAGTCTTATGAAACCTCAAAAAGTTCTAAGAAATCTCATGTTTCTTTCTCATGTATTATTTGTAACATCTTGTTGTTGAATAAGATGATGTTCATCGTTGTCTTTCATGATTATTGTCGATCGAAGAATTACGAGCACTAATACAATCATGTAGTAGAATGAAAAATATCAGATGGATAACTCATAAAATCTTGTGAAAGTTTTGATCATTCGAAAGCATTTTGAAATAACTAACAATAAACAGCATTTGTAATGTGTATCGTTTATTGTATCGAACTTTGAACGCATTGAAGAGAACATTTTATTTTGGAATAGAAGATAGTATTATTTTAAGCAAAAATTTATTCGAAATATTATTCAGGAACAAAAACAAACAAAATCACGAAGCACACGGATTGAATTTCTTTTTTGACGTTGATTTTCGTCGATTAGAAAGTTTATTCACGTTTGACAAATTGGTTAGAGATGATAATTCAGTACATTCACTTGAATGCGTTATATAAATATCAAGAAAAAAATATATTCTTTTCATATCCTAATACAATTTTTATAAGCTTGAGATGATTTATCTTTTGTTCTCTGCATGAAAAAACGAACTTGTTTCTCTTCTATTTAACTTTATAATATTATATACACATATTTCTTTTCTTGTAAAAGCAATAACATAAAAGAAATAGATTCATAAAAAGTAACTTAAATGTTGTGACAATATACGTTAGATATGTGATAAGACTTAATTGCTGATTGTTCTTTTTAAAATGAAATAAACATTGTTGATTTTTCGTTAAAAAATCATTCTGAAATAACTGATACTTCCTATGAATCTTTATGATTAAGTGCAATCGTTATTCTAAAGCATAATAAACATTTGTTAAATTTTATTGACATATTAAATAGAAAACATAAGAAATAAGATACAATATGATTCAGATTACCATGAGTTAATAATTTATCTAAATAAACTCTTTTTCAAAGTTATTCATCATATTCGTCTTCAGTGCTACCATACATAAAGAATAGTATTTTATTCAATATAATCTTAGTGAAAGTTCATTTATAATATCGAATCATGATCCAATTTTTATTTATACGGAAATATAAAAATAAATTTTGTCATGTTTAATAAATAGGTTTCAATAAACCTAAAAATTTCTCTTATAAAGTCAATTTTAATATAGTGAAAAACCTACTCTTACTCGTCAAATAATGTCAAACAAAAAATATATTTTGTATCGCACCTAGAATGGCAATAAATATTTTAAAGATGACAAATAGAACTAGATGATCTCTAATAAAATTCACTTTTCAATAAAAGTACTATGCTCATTTTGTGAATCATAGTATTAAAATTGTAAAGACATGCAAAAATGACTTTTGTGTTCTTTCAACTTCGTGTTATACGTGTCAAAAGAATAAAGAGTTATTAGAAACATGTACGTATTGATTTTTTAATATTCTCTTTTCAACATCGTGTCTTTCAAAATATTACAATACTAACAACTCAATCTTTTGATTTCATTTTTCAAAAATTATAATGAAATTAAGATGAAACTTTTCTTTCACAACTGACTATTTTATCTGGTACTATCTAAATTAGAATTCTATAAAACAGTCTTAATTCCTAGTCTAAACTTTTTCGTCATCATTGGACTAATACAACAACGAAAATCACATTTTCATTGCTGAATTTTATAGTGACACATTCGAACACATTTGCTCTCTCATTATTCCATATAAACTAGGATGTTTATTACGTGATCGACAATTATACAAATCATGAGTTACACGGATTCTGACCGGAACCAAAAATTTCAGTGACTTTTCGATCCAAGTCGAATTTTCTATAAAATCCTACTATATATTTTATCATCAGACGTAAAGGGTTAGGCGAAGGACAAGTATCTCATTGATGGTAAGGGCTAAGCCTTCTCAACTATAACTCTCTTTAGAACAATTAAAAATCCTTATCAACTGAGTTCAGATGATGGCATTAAATTAACATTATATCGATCAGGTACTTCAACAGAACACGTCTAAAAGATATATAAATGATGGAAAATAATTTAACAAAAATGAAATATGAATTAATTATGTCCTTAAACAAACTGTATAACGAGCATCATCAATATAATTTACTTGCAGATTACAACGAAGTGCTTCCATTGAATCAGAAATTCCATTTACAAGGATAGACACGATGTGAATGCTATGAGCAAGAGATAGATTAGTAAAATATCCGATATTTGCATATAGATCCACAATTGTTTCATTAACACATGACATTCATCCCGTGTTCATTCACTCCGTATTATTTCCAACATAAAACATACTTCTATCAAATTGTACGAAAATCTAAGATTAAACAATTTCTCCGGCATATAAATAAAATTGAAAAATCAACTGATTTACTCTATGCGATTTTCGACTAAATCAATCTCTGAATCATTTTCTAATACTAATAATGGTTTTTGTGATTGCAAATCATCAATTTTTAAAAAGAACTTTCAGAACTAATACCTTTAGTTGATGAACCAAATGATCTAGCAACATTTATTTCAAATTTATTCGATGCTAAAAATGCAGGCTCAACTAAAAAAAGAAGAAATCGATATAGAAAATCTAAGAATTATAATTTGACCATTGAGAATCAACAAAACAACGATATAATCGAAGAAGCATATCTCTATATATACGCCATTTTCGTGAAATATCATTTGATAATAGATCGTCGTATATGTTTGATCATGCTCATTATAGAGAGATTGAAGATTTTCGATAAGTTGTTTCATTCAAGATTACGACATTATTTATAGCAAAAGAAAAAGATCTTTTTTTTCTTTTGATTGAATTCTAAATAGATTAATTATCACTTTTATAAAAAAAACACTGCGTCTTTTTGTCTAATATCTATTTATTTTTGTCCTAATAATAGTCTACATAAAAAGATAAAAAGAAAAATGTCTTTTGTTTAAGAATGTGGACGTGTAGATTTTTCTACGCAACTTTCACTATGCATAACATTCGAGATCTTGCATATAAACTAGTTGCGTAGTGCATCAAAACTTGTGAGACATTCTGTTTTGTGAATCATAATATTAAAATTGTGAAGACACGAAAAAAAATGACTTTTTTTTGTCCTTTCAACTTTATGTTAGAAGTGTCGAAAGAATGAAGAAAAAGATCACATATACATGTAAGTAACAATTTTTATATGTATTCTCTTTTCAACACCACATCTTTCGAAGCAATATAATGCACGCAACTCGATCTTTTGACTCCGCCTTTCGAAAAGTATAATCAAATCAAGATGAAACTTTTCATTGACAGATGAATATTTCATCTCGTACTATCTACATGAGAACGTTATGAAAAATCTTTATTCTTGAAGTAGACATTTTCTTTATCATCGAATCAAAAGATAACACAAAACCAAAGTGTTATTGTTGAATTTTATATTGACATATACAAAAATAGTAACTCTCTCATCATATTATCTAATTGGAAATGTTTGTTACATAATCGATTATTTATATAAAACATAATAAATGTTTTACTTATATTTGTAAATAACACAACGACTAATTGAGATCTGATAAGATTCAAGAAAACTAAAGAAGTATTATATTACACAATAAAATAATATATGACATCACTACTACATCAAAGATCTTATTAATATACAATATTCATCCTTGAATTTGATCTTTTACTCACAAAATTGAATGATTCATTTTTATGATAGATGTTTTGTTTGCTTATTTTATATCTTACATTTTCTTCGTATTCCTTCATATATAAATTGTTTGAAGTGTTAGGTTGGTAGAAATAGCTCTTGATTCGTTGTTGCTCATTATATTACATATCCAAAAATATTTTAAATGTATACATCTACGACTCAAGCTTGTTCAGCACTTGTACATAAATTCGAAGCTAATATATGTTCATTTCTTAATTCATCTGAAACAGAATCATCTACACATTCACTTATTCGAGACGATAATAAAATAAAAAACGAAAAAAGAAGAGAAGAATCGCAAAACAATGAAATGATTGTGTCTTCTGACATTTCAACATCAAGTAAAGAACAAATAGAAACAAAAATGGGCAATAAAGTATTAAAAGTAAAAAGCAAAAAAACAAATTTTAAGGAACTTACAGATAATCAAATTGACATGCTTGTTGCATCAACAAATTTTTCAGCTGAACAAATTCGTGAATGGCATGAAAGTTAGTTGTTTTTCTCTTTTTTATTTGTTTTCATTCTAAATTTTATTTTAATATTTTTTTTTTCTTTTCATATAGGTTTTATACGCGATTATCCATCAGGTTTATTGAATTATTTTCAATAATAGATCATTTGTACTAATTTTTTTTTAATAGGTAAACTTGATCAAAAACAATTCATTGAAGTTTATCGAAAATTTTATCCACAAGGCAAAGTATGAAATCGATTTAAAAAAATTTCTTTTTTTAATTTTTTTATATACATATTAGGCAAGCAATTTTTGTTCGTTAGCATTCAAAGCATTTGATCGAAATAAAAATGGTTTGAAAAATTTTATTTCTAAAATTACAATTAAATAGTTATTCTTATTAGGTTTTCTCGATTTTAATGAATTTCTAACAGCTATTGTGTTGACTATGAGTAGTAAGAATCTATTTTTTTCATTTATATTATTCGTTTTTTTTTATATAGACGAACTAAAAGATCGTCTTGATCTTGCCTTTTCTATGTATGATATTAATGGCGATGGTTTACTTGATAAAAAAGATCTAAGTGCGTTTTATTATTTCGATTTAGTATACAAAAAAAAAAAGATTTTTCTTGTTTTTTTTTCCTATTAGCTCAAATTATTAAATTGATTTATGAAGTAAATGGAAAAAGAAAACTTAAACAAGATCTTGAACCACCAGATATAGCTCGTATGATTATTGACAAATTTGATATTGATGGTGATCAAAAACTTTCTCGACAAGAATTTATTGACGGATGTTTAAATGATTCTCAAGTACGAAAATTACTTACACCATGAAAAGATTCTTTAATGTTACTTTTTTTTTTCTAATGTATGATGTTTTATTTGTACAATCAGTTGTCTTGTTTCTTTTCAATATTTTTGAGAAATAAAATAAATTAATAAGATTTTTTTTCTTTTTCTTTATGTGAATTTTTTTTGTAGTTTAGAAAAGAAAATCCTAAGTAAATTTATCCCAGTAACAACTGACTTATTGAGCTTAGTACTAATCTCAACATTTAATAGTTTACCTATGCTGAGGCCCAGAGAAACTAATTTTCGAATTTCGTCTTGAAATTTTGCTTAGAAACAACTCTTAACGAGAATACTTCCAAATCTTTTAATTTGCTTCTATCCTAAAAAAAAGAACACCAACTTTGGTGGTTTATATGAGTAATGCAAAAGACACACTATCCCGTAGTAATAACCTAAAGACACAAACTCTTTTGTGGATATTCATAATTCATTTTGATCTATATAATGCACAATAGCGTTGATTAAAAAGCAATAATATATATCGGAGAAGTTACGTCGTTAGAATCGTAGACGAATTTTTATGTAGCTGGAAAGACTTGCAGTCATTAATTACAAACTTGTATAGCCATTTTACAATCATTGATCGTATTAGAATCGCAAAGAGAATCAGAACGTGTTGATTGATTTAGAAACCTTGTTTGTATTTTCCTATTAATAATGTTGTGTTAAGAAATTCTTGGTTTTTAGGTCTATCCTAAAAGTTGCTTTGGGTCTGATGCATAAAAACCGTACAAAATTGTCAGAATATATTGTGGCTGTAGTGAAGAGGTTATGCTAAAACTTTTAGCCCTATATCATGACATTTTCAGCATATATTTAACAAACAAGAGTAAAAAATAGGTCGTTTAGCAAACCAAACCTCTTCATGAATCCTAATTTTATAGATTTAGTTGTTTCTTATTGGTAAGAGTATGTCAGAGTGCAGTGTCATCTTTCTAAATTCTCACTTTTCACACGAAGAAAAAGAACGACAAGTTCAATATTGCAAAAACCTCTTAAAAAGCGATCATCTATTTAAAGACGTGCTTTTCCATATAATAATAAAAAAAAAGGTTAATTCAACAAACGAGCACTGCAGTTTCACATGATCTTTCAAACAGAAGAAAGCAATTAGCTAGAATGATGCTCTTTCATGACTTCTGGGATGCATGACCAGAAAAGCATAATCTGAGGAAAAGCTAAAAAAACGATTTCTGATTTTGTCTGAAAAAAAAGCATACTTTTCAAGCAGTTGGTTACACCAAATCAGGAAAATTTTTGGCAAAAATGAGATGCCAAATGCAAAACCATGTCGTTTATGAAAGATCTGACCTTGAATCATCTTCTCATTCATTTATTTCGATTTCGAAGTTTCTGATGAAAATTGACTTTTTTTTTGAGGAGATAACTTATAAAAAAACATTATAGAATTTGGGACTTAAACTTCTAAACTTGATAGATCCAAAGCATTCACATACATAATGAATTTTACAAGCATGTTCACAATTATTGACTGAGCAAGTTGATAGATTAAGTGATCCTTGATATTGATGACTACATCGATTACATTTACAACAAGAACAAAAACCAAAATTTGTTTCTTCATTGATCACTACCACTAATATAGATAGAGTTGAAAGAATAAGAAAAATACGATGAAATTTCTATATAATTAAATTGAATAAATAGAAAAGAACAATAGATCTAATGCTGACTCTTTATAACTAATATATTGACGATCAAATCGAGGAAAAAAACAAAAACACTGTTTGTCTAAGGATCATATCAAATTGCATAAAAAAAAGTTTTACGTGAAGAACTTATAAATATTCAATTGATTTTACGAACAAAACAAAATACAATCATTGAAAGAATCAAATTATTTTTTAAATTAAAATGGACATATATTTGTATGACTGAACAATTATTTTTTTCGTTTATTTCGATGAAAGAAAGACAAAACCTAGGGCAATATGTATATGATTATTTTGATTATCATCACTGAAGCGTGACCAAGCAAGCGAATACATTTTGTTGCCTATCTATCTACGCACAATATTAACATCTTGATATACGTCACTACCCGCATGCGGGTAGTGACAAGTTTATACACGTACAAAATCAAGCAAATATTACTCAAAAAAATTGTGTTCGTCTCAATCAGTTGGATAGATCCTGGTGAGAGCAATACATGCGATTGCATTAATTTAATTTTTATTAATTAATATTAATATTTATCGACTACGAACATCTAATCAAGAATATTGATTATAAATATACAAACATTAGATTTACTAACTTTGTTTTTTTTTTGTTTGAATCTTACTACCGTTCTGTCATGTCTTTCAAAATATTTGAACTCAATATGTATTTTTACATTATTGTTTTTATCTTGTAAAAATATTTAATCAAAACTTTCAGAATAAAATTTATATCTTTGTCAATATCAATGTGCGACACCTGTTCATATTTGAATTGCATAGACTTCCCTGTTGATTACAACGTTGACGAATACGTAAATATTATTACTTGCGTATTAAAGCAAACATGCATGAGAATATGTGTGAAATAAGCGCACATGTAATTTATCAATATACGTACATCAATCGAATATTTAACAAAGCACGTATTTGAATAACGAATTGATATGGCTGTCTAAATGATCAATTGATGAATTATTTGAAATATGTTTTTTTATTACTAATATTACTTACGTAAGTTAACAATTGATATAGTCTTATTTTATCATAGATTAATTAATAATCCTGAAATATTAGTAGAATTTTGAATTCATAAAGATTTTTTCATATGAATGAGATATGAACATAAAAAGATCACTTGAAAACAATTGACATATGCTATATTATCTATTTCTATACTGTGAAATAAAAATATTCTTCTTTAGATTCTAAATAGAAAAAAAAAATCATAAAACAATCCAAATGGAAATAGATGATGTATTACCTTGTCGAAAATTTGCATTTAGTATAGGCCATTTTCTTAATGATTTATGTGCATCGGTATGGTTTTCTTATTCGCTTGTCTTCTATCATCGTGTAGCAAAATTTTCCAATAGTTCTGCTGGTTATTTATTATTAATTGGTCAAGTAGCCGATGCTCTAGCAACTGCATTTGTTGGTTTTGCTTCAGATCGAACTAAACATGGTTTATGTGGCAAACGAAAATCATGGCATTTATTAGGTTTGTAAACTCATATTCATTTGGTTTGTTCTTTTTTTTTTTTTGAAAGAAAAACAAAACATTTTTAAAATATTTATAGGAGTAGTTTGTGTACTCAGTTCATTTTCATTATGTTTTCAATTAGAAAATGAAAGTCTTGCATTTATTTTACCATCATTTTTTTATTATACAATATTTATAATAATATTTCAATTTGGTTGGGCATGTTCACAAATTGGACATTTATCAATGTTAAATGAATTAACATCAAAAGATGGTGAACGTGTTGCATTAAATGCATATCGTCATGCTTGGTCGATTATTGCAAATATATTTGTTTATACTGTTACTTGGTTACTACTTGATAAAAATCAAACAAGAGATAATACTCAAATGAATGCCTATGTTTTTCAAGTAATATTAAGCGAGTTAAAAATTTTAAAAAAAATTTTACAAAATTTTATTTATAGATGTTAACTTATATCATTATTATTACTGGTTCTTTTACATCTCTTATTTTTCATCTTGGTTCGAAAGAATTACCATCTATAACAAGTACTTTGAAAAAAAGATATGATTTAAGACCATCCCTTTCGAAAAATCGATTTTTCTCAAATAAAGACACTTGACGAGATAACCATATGAGCATAACTGTTAAAGTGTCTACTTCTTCGATTAAAAAAATAATGACTAGCTTCAAAAGTGCATGATTAATACTCTGAGTTTTCTATCTAAAATGTGAAATTACACTCATCATTCCTTATCATTGTTCAACATGTAGATTGAAGGTCTTCAAAACGAATTCTTAATTGCTACGTGATGTACTCATATTTGACGCTCATGTCAGAAATCTCTTCAAGTATAAATTAATGGGTGTCTCATGAATTATGAGCCTTAGAGAAAATTAATTCATACAGAAACGAGTGATTCCTATCTAACTATACCTATATCAACTTCAAGTACTTAAGACGATGTTCTAAGCGATATATGATCCAATGATATCGTACAATGAATTCAAAGTTCATTAAAATTTCTTTACAAACCTAGTCAATGTCAAGATTATAATTATCACATTTCTTCTGTCTGTTTATATAATTGTTATTAATAAAAACTTTAAAGCATCGTTTTAAATGCTTCAAGCTCATTTAGAGATAAATAAATAGAAATTACTGTTTGCGTACTTAGAAACTAATTTTCTTTGAAGCTCAGAACCTATGGGACATCCTTTATGCAACTAAAAATTCGCGCGTATTCTCTTGAAACTGATTGATGTATATATTTTCGGTTGATAGAAAGAAATTCTGTAATTGACTCTTAATATCAAAGGAAATGTAGCTTTTCAAGAGAATGCCATCTTGAATTTTCGAAATTGTAAGCCTTTCAAGGTCTAAAAACTGAAATAAAATAAAGAAATGGTATATTTACATTAGCCGAACGTCTTCAGAAAACTTCATGTAATTTTCATGTATTGTATCGAAAATCGATTTCGGAACGTGGATAATAGGGTGGTGTGGATGGGTGTAAACGATCATATTTTTCTTATAGAACATGATGAAGTTGTGTTTATGCCATCCCATACATGGCGTGATGTTTTATATGATATTCAATTTTATTTAATATCACTAATTTGGATGTTAACACGTGTTATGAGTAATGTTTCACAAGTTTATTTACCTTTATATATTATGGATACAACAGATGCAAGTCAAGTAGATCGAGTTCGTCTTAGTTATTCAAGAAATATTTTTCATTTAACAATTTATTATTTCTATTTAGACATTTATTGCAATAGGTCCATTATGTGTTTATATTAGTGGTTTTATAACTTCGTTTCCAATGCGTAAAGTTAATCAATATCTAGGACGAAAGAAAACGATGATTGTTGGACTTATTGCTGTTCTATTATCATCATTGCTTTTTTGGCATATTTTTTCATTAAAAATAAATTTTGGTATTTCAATGCAATTTACAATTCTTATTGGTGCCATATTACTTGGAATAGGTATAACAACAGCACAGATTACATCAAGTGCATTTACATCTGATTTAATTGGTCAAAATACAGTAAGAAAATATTAATTAATGGTGTATCTACTAATTCGTATTCATTTAGGAAAGTAGTGCATTTGTTTATGGAGCTATGTCATTTTTGGATAAATTGGCGAATGGGTTGGCAATAACTTTTATTCAACAATATAATCCTTGCAGGTGTGAAGAAGTTTATTTTTTCTTCATGAAAAATAAAAATATCGTTTTCGTTTTTTTTTATAGTACATGTCCAACTTGTTGTCCACATTTTTATCGAAAAATTCTTTCATTTGTACCTGGTGTTACTACAATTTGTACATTATTAATACTAAAAAGCATTTCACATACTCATAGTAGTACTCGACAAATACGTTCAGCACGACAATCTCTTAGGTCTTTGTGGGATCAAATAATGCGACGAACTATCAAAGTAATATTAACAAAAATTGTATGATAATTAATAAACATGGATCTCAGCGATCGTCAGAATCCTAAAGAAGGAGACATTCAAACAAGGATGTTGCTCATGTAGTTAGGACGCTGCGATGCATGGTTATATTAGGGAGCTTATTAGCCGAATATTTTTTTTTCAAAATTAAAAATCAAAAACATTTCAGACCATTAACTAATATACATTCTTTTAAAAAACATGATCCGATAACTTATGTAAAACATAATTGTAAAGTTATATTTTCTAGTGATATGAACTCAAATAAATTCTTAATAAATATTGATTATATTTTAAAAATGTAAAACTACGGTTGCTTTTATCATTCTATGATAGCATGTAAATATAGAATAATCATATCCATCGAAAAAACTAACAAAACTTTGTTATCATTTCATATACATTTTTAGATATCAAATACCCCATGATTATCAAAAACACTTTGAAAAAAATTAAAAAAAATATTTTGTACCTAAGATTCAATATATAAAGATTAACATCTCCAACTAAATTAGTAATAAAATCGAAGGAACAAAAAAAAAATCATTGATAGATAGTATTCAATTGGATTTTAAAGACAGCTAAAAATATTTTAGAAAATACTTCGACAAAGTACTCATCATCTTCATATAAAGTGGACCACAAAAGTTTAAGACACTTTCTATTTTTTCTCTACTTATTCGGTACTTAAATATCTTTAAAGTCATATATTTGATGAAACATACATTGTACAGGAGATTACAACGTATCATTCGATAGAAAAAAATCTGCTCTACAAAATACACTATTTTCTAGAGTTCTGAAGTTCTTGTTTGAATCTTGATTTGCTTAATTATTAATAGACTATTACTGAATTTATAAAAAGGTGTTTCAAAAAATTCTATTGTAGTTAGTTATTGCGAAACAAAAAATACACAGCTTTGTTCAGTTTTCAATGCTCTTTCTAATGGTATACTTGAAAATCAAAAACTATGAAAATAAATTATGTTAATTAACTAATTAATTTAAACTATTAGTTATTAATATTTAATTATTAAAATTAATAATTAAGAAAAAAATTCTATATTAAAATGTAGCCCATTCAATTCTGTATCTAACGGTATATTTTAGTGGATTCTTTTCTGTTTTCAATAACGATAAAATCGATAACATAGTAAGTGTCTTAAACTTTTGACTATAGAGAAAAAATTGTATTTCGCTGTACATTCTCAGCTCACGACCAATTTGATGACACATAAATGAACTATGTAGATCTCAACCCTACATACATATATATATATCTAAAGATATTTCTTTTTTCTTTCCTTTAAAAAAAATTACAAAAAATAAAGTGTCTTAAACTTTTGTGGCCCACTTTACTTCGTAATAAATTAGGCATGCACCGAACCTGAGTATTCGGGTTCGCTCTTGAATGAAGTTGTTTTCAATAACTAATAAAACTTGAAATGACGACTAAACCAAGCCGAAGGCTTTCATGCTTGACTATGGTGGATCTACTGATAATGAAGTAAATGATCTCAAAAACTGAAAAGCAACAGACTTTCTAGATAAACAAGTTAATGAAGTGTGAATATACCAAAAATCGAACTTGATGAATCCTAAAGGTACTTCTGTAATCGTTTAGATACTTCAAGAACTTTTTGATCAACTATCTAAATACTTGACGAGGCCTGCACTCGTTACTCGAACTTCAGTTCGGATTCGCTCCAGGCCTACAATAATAATAAATACGAAGAATATAGCCGACAAATTACTTACAAACAAAATCATTCTCACTATTTCTGATTGATTAATGTGCTCAACTTTCACCATATGAAACCTTTTATAGAGATAAACAAGTTAACAAATAGTAGAGAAAGCAATATTATAAAATAGTCAGACGCAAGTAACTAAAGGTCTTTTATTATTTTCCATGCCCTAAGATTGAAAGTATATTGCTTTGAACTTACCACTACTATTAGTCACTATTTAGCAATATATGTCACAATAGAAAGTGATACTTCGATATTCTTAATTGCTAATAAATAGAATTGTATTCTATTCTATGCTGTGATGTATATATCTGTAGTGTTAATGGCTAATCAAAATCATCAACAAGATGAAAGTTATTTATAATTTAAAAGAAAGCTACAAAGTCAAACATGTTTTTATCGAACAATGAATAAAGGCCTATACTTTGATGTTTATTGATATTCGTTTTATTAGTGAAGTTTTTCAACGGGGAAAAAGTCTGAAATCAAAAAAACGCAATGAAGATTTGATAAGACTTTATGAGGTTTCAAAAGAGCTCGTCGAATTCTAGAAGATTTCTCGTGCTCATGAGATTTCGAAACTAAGGTCTCTGCTGTTTCGCCTCAAGTTTTTTATTACTAACACTCCTAAGCAATCGAATATGAACTTGAAAAGTTTATTCATTCAAATGATATTCGACATGTATTTCAATGGTAGTTGTGAACAAACAACAATTAAATTTGAATTGATGAGAAAAATTTAAGTAAGTTTCTTTTAAGAAACTAATTTTCATCTACAAATCATAAGCGATCAACTATTATTGAATATATTTGTATGATTTTCAGAAACGCTCTAATAATTAATCTACGGCTAAAAATACAGCATTTATTGATATAAATCAAATAAATTATTATCCGAAATGAAGTTGAAATATGGATTATATTTGATGTTTTATTTTGTATTGAAAATCTTTTCAAAAATAATACAAATCGAATATGAATAGTACATGTGAAAATATGCAAATGACGATGATTACCATTTTTATGAGAAATATTTTCTTACATGAAACAGGCTATTGACAATGAGATTAATTTAGATTCATATCATAAAATTCTAATAGAAATTGAAAAATATCATTAACAATAAAAATCCTATGATCGAATACCGAAAGAAACACAACATTCGTGAAGAGATATAGTTTCAGTTTGAACAAATAAATCTTATTTTTTTTTGCTAGCAATATTATCTATGTCTTCCAGAGTTATTAGATAAATGAAAACAAATTATCGAAAACAAAAATATGAACGTTATCTTATTACGAGAATTGATCTTATAGAATCAATATAACTAAGTTAATAAAATTCAGTGAGACAATTAACATTTTGATACTACAATGACATGCAATAATCTTGATTTCTTTATAAATAAAATAAAGGTTTCGGTGAAACATTAATATATAATCAAAGAATGATCAAAATCAGTCGAGATACTTTGTTACTTGAGTATTCAGATTAAGTTATTAACTGTTTTGAATTTTTGAATTACTAAACAATCAGATTTTACACTCTAAAAAATAAAATATCATATAAAGCTTTCAATTAATTCAGTAAATTATGTTAAGCTTAAAAAAAAACTACTGTGGAAATATTGGCACATGTGTAAATTCATAAAAAAGATAATCAAGTGTCGATTTGGTTTTAAGTCTGCGAAACGAAAGTTTTGCGTCCGTATGCTTTTGTCTCATAAGGTACTTGAGTAATCTTTTAAAACCGGAGAATGTGGCTCGAATGTTCTACTTTCCTACTAATCATCATTTTACAATCAATTCTTTTGATGTAGTACAATAATATTTCGTATTCTTACTACTGTAACCAATCTAGCAATACTGATTCTAAAATAATTTCATTAAAGTATACCGTTAACTACTTGCATAAAATTCTTTTGTCTTTATCAATGTGTTTATGTTAATAATATTCAACCAATTGAAATATCAGGAGAGTATCTCTCATAATTGAATTTCATGTGTTTTCAACAAACATTCTTTGGTCTATTCTAGTGAATAAACGACCTATATAACATATGCTTTTTGATGATATTGTCAAATTAGAAAATTATATTTCATATTTATAGTTATTCTTCAATGATCAAAATCAAAACTAATATGCATCGAAATTCTATAAAACAATAAAATTTGTCTTAGTTTTTTATTGAAATCTTTAGTTCATTTTAAATGTCATTGAAATTTATGTTTCGATCTATATATATTTTTTTATATTTAATTAAAATATTTGCCACACTCCGTCGCTTGCCTATGACAACGTATTTTCTTTTGTTATTACTGTTCGTCACCAACGTTGCTGTTATTTTTCTTTTTGCTTTCGTAGCTAAGTATGAAATAAAATAATAATAATAAAAAAAAAAAAAGAATCACTTATTCTTTATTGTGTCAACATTCTTTTTGATTAGCACTTCTCGTTCTTCATTAATTTCAGTAATGAATGCACACTATACTTGTTAGGAGCATAAACTTCAATCGACACTAAAATTACAATAGCATGTAGATGAAAAGAATGAATTGATTCTTTTTATTATAGTGTTAATCATGGCATCGGCTACCGTTAAGAAATTTTGTGCCACATGTCATAAACATGGTGATGTCTTCACGTGTCGTGGATGTCGAAAAGCATTTTGTACTAAACATATTGATGAACATCGTGAAACACTCTCTAAAAAACTAGAAAATCTTGCTGAAGAACTTGATCTTCTACGAAATGGTTTAAACCAAGAAAACGAAGCACAATCGTTTCTCTCTATGATTGATAAATGGGAACAAGAATCTATTGCAAAAATTTGTCTTGCTGCTGAAAACGCTCGATCTGAAATACAACGATGGATTGATCGAAATAATATTGAGGTAAAAATACCATTTGAAAGAATAACAAATGAACTTCGATCATGTCAACAAACAGATGATTATAATGAAATTGATCTTAGAAGATGGGTTCAACAATTAGAAGAATATCGTAGCAAAATTGAAAAATTACCTATTGTTAATATAATGAATGATAACGATTCAGATACTATTCATCTAATTAAATTAGGAGAAATGATCGATCAAATACAATCTGATTCGATGACCCATTCAACGCCTATACTCGATAATACATTGATTAATATTGAAGAACCAATTCTTCTTGTTCGAGAAAAATTTGACGATGTTATTGGATCGGCTACATTATCAGAAGATGGTCTTGTAGCGACATATTCAGGCCCTTGGTTAGGTGATTCAAGTATTTGTGGTGTTAATGTTTATTCAACAGGAACACATCATATTCGTTTTCGTATTCTAGAAAAATTCTATGATTCACCTTTTTTCGGTATTGTTACTGCATCGCAAAAGAATAAGAAACGAATTTTAGAATCAGTATCTACAAATGGTTGGTGGAATTTTGATTTTCCTATTATGAACGGTGAAAAAGAGAATCGAGTGGGAAAAGATAAAATTATTCGAGCACAAGATGATATCACATTAACCTTGGATTGTGAAAGAAAACAAATTTTTCTCAAACATCAT